AATAAATGAATGTAAATAAATTGTTAGTGAGAATAAAAGAGAAGAAAATTGTCCTCATGACCAATGGTTGCACTTTGAAATATTCTTACGAAATGTTTAGGGTACTGCACAAAGCTTGGTGGGCTAAGCCTTACATTTTTTAGAAGCTGTTGATATCAAGCTTCGTCAACTGACTTTGTGCAGGCAGAAGGAGACCTTCCTTCATTTCTCTGTGTCTTATTGATAGGTCATGAGTATAATTTTTTTCTGTTTTATACTCACTAACAGTTTATTTACATTGATTTATTGTTTTAGTAATAAATTTATTTTAGTCATGGCTCCTTATTTACCACCCATGCACTTTTGCATTTTCACCATTAATGATTATTTTTTTTTTTTTGTATGTTGTTTTTTTTTTTCAAAATATCTTTCTGAAGTAGTGTTGGACAAAAAAGTTTCCTTTTAAAGAATGCACTCCGTCATTTTTATAACAATATATAAATTCTGTGGTATAAAAATTTTATTCAAATATATATATATATATATATATATATATATATATATATATATATATATTATTAATTAATTGATTTAAAATATGTTTTTTTTCGCTACACAGTTCCAACCATGTTTCAAAAATAAATAGCGAAAAAAAACAAAATTAAATTCGGGGCATTTAGCTTCCATTTTTGAAACATGGTTGGAACTGTGTAGCGAAAAAAACCATATTTTAAATCAATTAATTTATAATATTAATGCTCTGTAAATTTACATTGAGCACTATTTTGTAAAAATAAAAATATCTATAAGAACACCGGATTCTATATCTTACTGTTCTTTCTTTTTATTTATATACATATATATATATATATATATATATTTAGCCATGTCTGATAGAATAAGTTACAAATATTATGTCTGCTTATTCTGATCACAATCCTTTCATATTCATAAATATTTTTTCTATATCTTGCAATTAAATGAGGCAAGAAATGCATTGTAACATTTATTTTCCAAGTACTTTGCATTTCTTTCAGAAAGAGTTGGAAAGTAAAAGATAAGAATTAACACAGCTTTTAAATTTCTTATGTTAGATAAGCAAAGAATTGTCTGTTGATGGATGAAAGTTATGGTCAATGTAATATTGACTAAATTAATACTCACAACTTTTGAGTTTCTGAATTGTTGGTACCAGTCATGTTAAGAATAACATCCTCCTCCCCAAATTTATAGACAAACCATACAGATGCATGCTGGGATTTCTTCTTAGCCAATAAAATAGGCCACTTCTCAGTTTTATCTGATTTAGTTCTGTTTTCTTGTCTTGAAGTCAGAATGCTGTGATTACTTGTCTGTATCCCCTTTTGTGTTTCAACACCAATTCTTAGTTTGTAAACTTTTTGCCTTATTATTGTTGCTTCGCCTTATTGCTGTCACTTTGCCTTATATTTTTTGCTCAATATTATTTTTGCCCTGTTCTTTTCTTTCTTTTGTTATTGTTTATTGCAAAGTTTGTCAATTTTGTTTGTTGGCCATTTCTGCCAGGTACGTTTTAACCATCTTCGATTACTTTACAAGTAACCTACCTAGAGAGTTGGTTTAATTGGTTGGCACAACAAGAATCAAGAGGGATATCAAAAAGACTAAACTTTCTAAGAGCTTCAAAAGATAGGAAGTTGTGGAGAGCCATGATCACTTACATCCCAAAGAAATACAGCATATAGGAGAGAAGAATTTAAATAAAGGCAGTTAATTCTACAGTTACTGAATAAAGTTGTATGAACATAAGAGGAGGAGATAAGAAGCATATACCGTGAGGATATGTGGGATAGATAATGACTTGAAGAGGTTAAGATTGTAACAATCAAGGAAGCATCCTCTCTGGATTCTGAATGAGGTTGTTGTATGAATGTGAAAGTTGGAGTCATATGAGTTGCAGAATCTGTTGCAGATGGATATAGTAAAAAGATAATTAAAAAAATCAAATCTAATTGTTCACTAAATAAAAGGCTCAAGAGCCTCTCTAGGTAGAAGGTTACTGTTGGTCCCACTTGTGTTAGGTAATGATTGCAAAAGCATTCCCTTTCCCAAATGTATAAACAAAACATACAGATGCATTTCCTTCTAGTGGATACCCATATTTTAGTAGACACTCCAAGACAATCAAACAATACATTTATTTCCATCTCCCAGCCTGAATGGATAAACAGAACATCTCAAATATGAATATCCACTAAAAGTAGTGTCTAAGTAATAAAAACCTGTTAGATTCTTCTTTTATTATTTGCAGTGTCCTTTCAGGACATAGGTGATCATGGCCCTCCACCTTTTCCTGTCCCTTGTAGTTTTTGTCTTTTTGCTATTTCTCCCAAACCCTGTTCTGCCATCCATTTACTCAAGCCCATCAACTATGTTACACGCTGCTTTCCTCTGTCCCTCTTGCCCTCAGTCTGTCCTGTGAGTATCAGATTTTCCAAGCCCTCCTTCATTATGTACCCCAGAAATTTCAACTACCTCTTCCTGATGTTAAGTATATGTTTCCTTTTTTGTTTCCATTTTCTCTAAAACTTCATCATTGCTCACATGTTTGGTCTATGGTATCCTCAGCATCTTTCAGTAGAACCACATTTCTGTTGCTTCAACCTCTTCTTCATCTTTGAGGAGATTGTCCAACATTCATATGGGAGGACAGATATCACATAACAATTCAGTACTCTACTTTATTTCTAATAAAGTTTTTCTCTCTTTTATACTCTGTTTAACTTTTGAAATGCATCTTTGGCCATTCCAATGAGTCTTCGGATCTCAGTTAGAACACTTCCCAGATATTTAAATTTCTATACTTGTTTGATTTTAGTATCCCCAATTTATAATTTACGTTTTGGGCACATCCTTTTGCTGATGACCATGCATTCTGTCTTGCCATTTATACTTAGTCCTTTCTTCTCACTTTCCTTTGTTACATTTTGTAGGAGCTTTTGTAGTTTTCTTTCTGTGTCTGCTAAAATAAAAATCCATCACTTCTTTAAAAAAAACTTATATAAAAACTATACCTTGTTTTTTGAATAAATGAAAATGCTTTTTACATAAAAGAAACATAAAGAAAGAAATGGAATATTGCAGTCTTATAGGATTTTTTATTTGGTAAAAAAACCCTATGAAAAAAATAATTCAAATAAATGTTTGAGATAACATTTAATTCATAAGGGCACACAACAAATACAGACACCATAGCCGAGTTTTAAAAAAAAAGGACAATAAATTTATTGTTAACATACAAAAAATGAAAGAATTACACAAATTAAGTGTTTTGTGTGCCGAATGATGGCCAATAACATGTACGTAAAAATATTCAATCTAAAAGAAATATGCCTCTTTTACAATAAAAATTGCAATGTTGCATAAAGTCCTCAGAAAAGGTAAACAATATAAAAATAAAATGAAGAAAGAAGAAAATACTTCTCTAAATAGTTTTCAAAGAATAGATACAATTTCCAAAGGAAAGTTTGTGGTAACGGTGAAGAACAGAACAATCACACCATCCGAAGAATTTTCCTTGATGTGGAAGTTACTTGATGTTCTTTTCAATTCTTGTCTGGGGGGGTCATCAAATTTCTTCTGTGTTGTTTTTCTTCCTAGACTCGAGTGACCTGGGTTCATGCAGCAGCTATTAGTTGATTCCTTGTATTCAATCCAAGGCCCCCTTTTACTACAACAGGTAGGCTTGGAATTCACTTCTCAGACTTTAGAGGGAAAACTTTGATTGATTTCAGACAAAAATCAAATGCAACTGTTTTCCCACAAATCAAATCAAATTTGAAATTCAAAAGTTTAAGCAAGAGCCCAAAGCAGCATTTACTTTCTTTCAGAAAAGCAGACAATAAAACCTCAAACAGCTTAGATTTCTTTTAGCCTCTTATGTAGTGTTTCTCAGCTTTTTTTGCTTCAGGGCCGCACACTTGTAGAATAACTAAAACTCTGTGGTGAACGTTAAATTTTAATAAGGAAAAATTAGTTATGAAATTTGAAAATAAATTTTGGTTTAACATTCCCAAAGGTTAGCAGTATAGTTTTCATTTAAGGAAGAATTTGCTATTTTATTTTTTAGAGAGGCTGATAATGACTGATTTAAATCCCTTGAGAAAAGCAAAAAGGAAAGGATTATCCACTCCTTCTTAAAGATTAAGTAATTTAACATCCAGTTTAAAATATCAAATGACAAAGACTTTACTTAGACATGGAAGCCATCTGCACAGTGTCTCTAGCTTTTTAAAAATAAAGATTTTTTTAAATGTAATTCATAACTTACTCTTCTGTTAAATTGGGGTGCATCTGACTACAATTCAAACACATTAGTGTTCATGGGCACCAGTTGAGAAACACTGCTCTAATGTAATATTAACAGGGGCACATAGAAATCTCATAAAACTGGTTATAAATAGCATTTTTAAAAGAAAGTGTAATTTGTCAAAACTGATTATCCATCTATCCTTTCTCGAGCCAACAATATTCTGGATAATCACACTCCGGTGGAGATGATCCATAGTTGCTGAAATCTATCATGTTTTTATTTTACAGACATAATATCTGCACTCCATCTTTAAGTGGCAGAGTTGTGAATTTAGAGTTATTCTTCATCTAGACTGGTTGCCAACCAAGGCTGAAGAGCCCAGTCTGACTGCCATAGCTAGGAGGGGGGGAAAAAAGGATATTTGTATAGAATTGACTATAACAAACTTGATTGGAATTCAAACTTAGTTCACTGATTTCTTATTCTGAGCCACCACTGAACATTACACAACCTGCATATCCACTACAATTGATTAGGTTCCGGAAAATAAATTTTTGCTATCTTTATCAAAATCATGTTTTGTATTCTAAAATGTATGAATCCAACTTTTCCCTGTCACCATCAGTAGTCTTAACCAGATACCTGATGCTGATTCAGCATAATGGTCAAGAGATTTTTCTGTAATTGCCTTATGTATCCATTGTTAGTCATGACAGCTAATTTTTTGAGC